TGTCCGAATGTGTCTGGAGGGGTTTTTTCACTGGGGAACGGGGTGAAAAAGCAGTTGAGTAAGGTGCTCATACTCATTCAACCCCCGATTGGCTATATCAAATCTGCTTTGACACAAATTGATATGCATGCCTTTTATTTACTAAACAATTGAGTGGAGAAACCGCTTTTTTGGACTTCCCCTTTGACAGATTTATATTTAAGTACACAGGAAAAATAATAGTGTGTATAAACTATATTATTATAGTAAAAACTTGACACTTGAGTTTTTAGTCATATAATATAATATAATTATTAAAATACAAAAAAGTAGGTCAAGGTTTGTTGTCAACTGGCTCGTCAGTTATTCAACTCTATATTGATAACTTTTTCAAAAGTTTTCGGCAATGTAAGCATCTTTGGCTTTAATTGCTTAACTTTTTTGGTCATCCGACGTTCTGTTTACCTTAACCCTTTGATTTGATTAAGTTGCCAGGTGGTCATGGTCATGGATTCCCCGGATTCCCTTAGGTTTCCCAGATCTCCAAGTTCCAAGTAGAAGGCGATGCGGTAATGCGATACTCGATTGTGCGGTTACATAACCCATGTGCACATGATTCGTAGATAAAAGACGGAGACAAATAATAACAATTCGCACACACCTGTATCTCTCAGTATCTTGGTATCTCACTATCTCTATATCTCTGTATCTTTGTGTGCTTCTCTCGGAGATAATGCGATATAAGACGAAATCTTCAGCTCAAACCAAACGGGTTTCGCTCACATCAAAAAAGAAGCGATTAAAAAGCCGCAAAACAGCCAACGAAGAAGGCCAAAATATAATCATAATAATTATATACATGTTTATTTTTGTATATATATGTATGTAGGCTTCGCAAGAATTCGCTGCAATTAAGCTGGCAAGTTCTCCCATTGAAATATTTAAAGTCAACATATTTGCATTATAATGTTAATCATTTAATGGCCAATTAGTGTGTCTCCCACAAAGTGTGACTTTTTGCAACGGCCATTCGAAGCGTTGGATACCCTTTTTTGGTCACGATACATTACAGCTCACAATTCACCTGCAATTAAATTTTAATTGCAAAATTCACAAATAAATTCGTTCGAGCGACGGGCCATTGTTATTTTCTTTTTTTGTGCTATTTTCCTTGTTGTTATTTTTTTACTGTTCACTTTTTGTCTGTCTGGTTAAAGGCCAGGGCCAAAAGTAAGCAACAAAAGCTGAATTTCAAATTACAACAAATGGCAAACATTTTGCAAGTTTTGCCTGGCCTTCATTGAAGATTCAAATAGAAAAAGGAAAAAAAACTGGTATAGGAAATATAAGATTACATATTTCATTTTATAGCGTTTTTATATTATTTAATATTTATTTATCTCCAAAGTAATGGGATTTTATTTGCTGTGAAAGTTACTTAAAGAAATATATTTAAATTTAGTTCATTATTAAAAAATTTGAAAATTCGTGAAGTGACAAATTCTTTACCCTGCATTGCTATTTCATTGAAATACCTACACATTGTGAACTACACATCCAATCCGGCGGAAAGTTTCGTAGACCCCGATTTGCGGTTGGAACTGGCGCTGGCAATTGAAAATCCATCGATTGCACTGATTCCGGCGATTCCACCTGCAGTTTGGAAACCCAGGAAGTTGCCTGGTACTTTCCACCCGTCGATATTGTCCATATTGTGCTCGTTGTGCTTGTTGTTGGTTGCCATCGGTGGCTGCATGTTGCAGGCACTTCTCACGTGGTTTCTGCAATTTGAGTGCACTTTGGTTTATTGTTTATCGATTTGCTTGCGGGCAATTAAAGCCCCTTTCCCTTTCCCCTCACATCCACCCTCAACTTTTCATTCCGCCAGTGCGAATCAAGATTCCAGGGCAGACCCATTAAACGGAGAAGTTTTCCCCCCCTTCCAATCCCTCCACTCCTCTCGACTCCTCTTGAAATGTGTGAAGTGCCACACGAGCAGCGGTAACAAGAGACTCGGTTAAGGAAAATAAGCCAACTCGACGGGACGATGCCCTGTGTAAACAGAAATAAAATCTGGAGTTAATAAATAAATAAAGCAGGAGTAATCTATATAAATTTAAACATAAAATGTTTGATAATCTTAAGAGTTACTCCTTTTTTTAGATAGACTTGCATTGAATAGCATTTCTTTTTCTCTGTGACATTTAATGACCGCACAACATAGCAAACAGCCAGCACACACATTTCAGATAATTAAGGCGGTGATAAAGGTTTATTTACCTAATAGAGCACCCAATAAAAGTTTACACCCATATATGCCATTCTCCCGTTTGCAGGAGTACCTAAAAGTTAACAACTGAGCAACAAAGAGCACTTTGTTGAAATAGTTTATGCACTCTTTAAACGGGCAAACTCAAATGTGCAAAGTGACAGTAAACGCACAATATCTGTTTTTATTTGCTAATAAACTAGACACGAACCCTTGTGCAATGAAATGCCCAGTTGTGTCCACAAAATAGGATTTAAATAGTAGATGGTATTTGCAAGGAGAGTAAATGACCACAGAATGAGTTATTTAGGTTTGGAGTTTGTAAAAACTGTCAGATTGAGTATACCTTTCGTCTTACCCTTTCCCTTTAACCTCACCTGTCGTCTTTTGGCCCGCAAGACCTATTAATGGCTAATTAAGGTTAATAATATAGCACAAACAGTCGACACAACGGAGAGCAACGAGCTCGAAGAACAACAAATGGCGGACAACGGACAGCGGACAACGGACAACGGACAGCGGACATCGTTCTACGGACGGACAACAAACGGACGGACAACAACGAACACCTGTGATGGCTCCGTCAACAGCTTGGTACTCGATTACGAGCATTTGCATGTGTCAAAGGGGCGGTGTTCGATGTCCGCCCTTTGGCCACACCCCCTTATCCCCTTCCCCGCCCCCCCAAATCCACCCCTCTCTCTTCGCTCGGACATGAACTCAATCGGAATCGCAATTGCCCGGACTTGAAGAGGCGCTCAACTGACACGGCATGTCAAGACTTATGAGAGGAATGCCCAAAAGGGGCGGGGTTCGCGGAAATGAATGACACAAGCGAAAGGCATACACATGGACACCCCCCACAGGCACACTCACACACACACACACACACACACACTCCACACACGGACAGGGACACGCACACAGGGTCACACACACTCTCGCGCTCACAAATGAGATTAAAAGTCAGAAACTTGGAGCTCGGAAAAACGCACGGTAGTTGCTCCAACTCGCAAAAACGCCCCCGCATCAACCCTTCGCCTACAAGCACTAAAAATCCCATGCACTGGGGAAAAAACTAGCATTTAACTATTTGGTTAAGACCCTCATTTTTCAACTACCTAGCGAAATCTTTATTTGCTCTTTAGACATTATTAAATAAATATTACTTGTTTAAAATATTTATTTCAATATGTTCGAAATATAGATTTTAGGAATAACCAATAAAAAGAATAGAAAAAGAATTAGAAATTACTGTTAAGACCCGTATTTTTCAACTACCTTAGAAGATCTTTACTTGGCCTTAAGAACTTATTAAATAAATAAATTAAATACAAATGTGGAAGATATATTGAAATATAGATTTCAATAATAGCCAAGAATAACAAGAATATCTTAAGTTAGAAATTACAGTTAAAGTTCCTAAACGAGATGAAAAGCCTAACCCCAACTTAAGCCTTAGTTAAAAAATATATTTAAAACAAATCAAGGTGTATTGAGGAGTTTTTTTCCCAGTGTAAGTGGGGCTGAGGGGCTGTAGGTTCAACGACATGTAGCGACATCGAGGCTGACAACTCGGCGCCTAATTGGATCTGGCCCGAGCGCTCCACTTTTGCCCGGGCACGCTTGGTGGGTGGAGGGTGGAACGGATGAAGACGAAAGGGGGTCACTAGGGGGTATGGGGGATGCGACCTCGGATCGAGCGCGTCTTTAGCCCCATACGTACCCCACCACCCCTCCTAAAACCCACCGCTTTTCGACGCAATCAACAGCCGAAAACGCAAGGGCAGCGAAATGAAATTAAAGCCGAGGTCACGCGGGGGTTGCTTAGTGGGTGGATGGGGAGAATCGGGAGGACTGGGAGGAAGTGGGTGGATTGAAGGGAGTGCAGCCGAAAAGCAATAAAAGTGACAAGAAAAGTTGAAGCGCTGAGTGGGCGACCAAGAAGGATAAGGACAAGGAGCTGGCTGGCGGAGAAAGTGGATTTTGGCGGAGAAAGTGGGGAGGAGTCCGTGTTGTCGTTGCTGTCAGCAACCAGCAAATTTTTAGCAAAACTTTGAGACCCCCTCCCCAAAAAGAAAAAAAACCCACACACCCAAAAAAAAAAAGGAGGGGGTTCGGCTTGCTTGACTGAATTCCCAGGCATAAAAACGATTCCCCGGCGGCAACGTTTTGTGGCCCGTGAATGCACTCATGAATATGTATCGAACGATTCGTTTAGCGGCGAATGCCGTGAATGCAGCGAATGGTCGTTCGGGGAATAGCGAAAGGACTCAGCCGGAATGATGCCTGTCATCATGTCGCAAATCATTGCTTAGGTCAGTGCCGTAAATTCGCCAAGCGACGACAGGCGGCTTTCGTCACTCGACTGGAAAATATTCCCTGCGATTTGTTGCTATTTTGTGTTTGGAGTAAAAGTAGGTAGATTTAAATAGAATAATAAATCTAGAAGAGGAATTCTATTAACTTTCGAAGTAGTCGTAAGAAAAATACTACTTAAAATGAAATATTAGCCGAGGGAAGTTTCTCGGCGGTTGTCAGAGGACTATTTTATAACTATGATTTATGGGCTGGCTTTGTGTGCGGTCCGGTCTTTCATCATCTTCCATCAGACTGAATCAACTATCGATTTTCGGGGCTCTTTCTGCTTGGCAGATCACAGCAATTAAGCGACTCTGACCAGCGCCCCCTGCTAAATGTTTAATGTGCCCGAATTAATTATTATTCCCCCCACTTATCTCTCCCCTTGCAGCCTGGGATATTGGCAACTCGGTGCAGGACGCCTTCGTCATCGCCGTCGAGGAGCACGCCCGCGAACGTCTGCAGAGATTGGCGGCCTTGAACCGGGTCACGCCCGTCGACATCACCCAGCTGTCCAAAAAGGTGAGTGACCCAGCCCCCTACTACTATATCCATTATATTCCCTCTAATTACATTTTTTGGAAGAATTTTTAACTGGGTTTCCAGTATATTTTTCTGGATTTTTGAAAAGCTTTTACCGAAGTTTATATTGCGGAAATTTCTGTATATATATACCTGGAATACTCAGCTGAATTTTCGCTTTGCTTTGGGGTTAAGTGAATTTCCAACGAGTTTTCTAAAAGCTTTGGGTGAATTTTAATTTTAATATTTTTAGTTCTCCCTTTAAATAGTCAATTAATTTTTTTTGGGGTTTATAGGATATTTTTCTATGTTTAATAACTAGTTGTATCAGTGGCGAATCCAGGATTTGGTTATACTTTTTGAATACCACATTTCCTTGTACTTTGTTAAAAGATGAATCAATCAGCTGGTTTTTCTATGTAGGATTATCTTTCTTCTGGTTCTGCCAAAGGACCATTAGTGAGGCTAAGTTCTATTTCAACGAAAATCCATGGCTATTTTTAGGTTCTTTCTTTGCTTTATTAAGCATGGCTTCCTGGGAATTTTCTCCTGTCTCTGCTGGAAGTGCATATTTGATGAATGAAAAAAGGCAAAGCGGGATGGAAAAAATCCCGGAAAGTGCAACTTTGTATTGTTTATTTCTCCTCTTTTTTTCGGTTTGTGTGGCATGCGGTAGGCGGCATGTGGCATTGAGGCAAACATGAATGCGAGCTATTTATTTGCAGGCAGTGTGTTTCTGGCCCGATTGGGATGGCAGGCTGAAATTGAAATGGAAAACGAAACGAAACGTTTTATCAAAACAGCTTTCTATCACAGACGGCACATAGATATTGGCATAACTGAGTGACCGGAGGCGGAGGCCCCTCCCAAATACCGAATGCCAAATACAAATACAAATACAAATACGAAATACAAAAAGAAACAAATGCGAAATGCAAAAAAATGAGGAAGCATGTTGCTCTCTCGCAAAATTCAATTAAAAATTCAACAAACCCAACACGAGCCAGTAGACACTGGACTGAAACTAAAAGTGGAAACAACAACAGACACTGAAACTAAAGTAAAAAGTAAAAAGTGAATAAAACAAAGAAAAGCTCACAACAAACGTTGTATAAACTTGAAAACAAAAACAAAATAAAATTGCCATCAAAAGTTACGCAAAACAGAGAGAGAAAAAAAACAACAGAAGATAAAATAAAAATAAAAACAGTAGCAGGGGGAAAAGACAAAAAACAAAAAAACGTAAATGCAAATCAAATATGTGGGTAATTGAAAGTGAACGCTGCAATCCCATTTGCATGTGCGAGCCAAAGAGTGAGTATATTCAGATGGGACTAATAAAGCGATTCGCTCCTCAAACTTACATAACGGCGATCCCAGAGATTGGTTGCACTAAGAAAATATATACCCATTAATATCTGGATTTTAGATCATTTTATAGGAGATATTTTTATAAAGAGAAAGGATTATCATAAAATATATTGATGAATCCCAGAACTAACTTATTTAATATTAATAATAATTCCTAATAATTCATTTTCCAGTTAGTTAGTCAGGTTTACAAAATGATATACGAAAGAATATGATATTTCAACTTATATCCTAACTCATATATCATATAATAAATCATATATCCTAACTCATATATCATATCCTAACTCGTAACTCATATAAGACAGTCTCAATTAAACTTTCCATTTAAATTTAAGTTAGTAAAAAAAGGTACCTATTTGTTTTTCACCGTGTACCTATGTAGGTTTGGCTGTATTTTTTGTACACATGTCGGGCAGTAAAAAAAAGTCGGTGAATAAATACATTAGCTATTCACTGTGCGTATTAACAGTTTCGTTGCGTTTACAGTTTAAGCACAAAAGATCGCGATGAATGAAATGACTTATGGCGAATCATTTGAATGCAAATTACTTCGATTACATGTATTCATTTCATATACGCTCCAGTGGCTTTTCATTTGATTTGTATTTGCACTGCCGGCATTTAAATCTCAGTAACTATTTTACTTAAATAGCACAAATTTGATTTATGGTCATAAATGGTTTTGCATACATTTATTACGATGAATTTATTCTTAGAAATACGAATTCATTTCTATGTAATATTTACTGATGAATTAAATCATGCCATTCAGTTGTTCAGTACAAAGAGCCGTTTGTATTTCTATTGAAAAAGTACCCACTTTTATTTCCTTTAAAAAATCAAATGGTTACAGCACAGCAAGGGCATTCTCTTGTGAAGGGTTTGTTGGGCTCCAAAGTGATTGAATTGAGTGCATTTATTGTGCCCAATAATTTGGTCACTCGTTTCGGTCGGGAAATCGCGGAGTTTCGAGAGGCTCTTTTGGATGGTCTGGATGGTATTCCACGCATTAACCGCCAATCCCAATCCCAATCCCAGTCCCAGTCCCTCGTGCTTCCAGCAATTTTAAGCGCATCAAGTGCTTTTGTCATCATCATCGTCATCACAGTTGAACGCTCCAACAATTGCTTTCAGCTCTCCGAACGTCGCATGGAGTGGGGGTCAGGTGCGGTTCGGTTCGGTTCGGTTTTGGTACGGATCTGGGGATCTGGGTTGGGTTCGGCTCTATTTGGATTGGGTTACTCCGGGGGGAGTTCTTTTTTGTCTAGGATGCGCTAGAGTGCTGCTGCGGGGCCTTATCGAGAGCAGTGAGTCAATCGTTTGTTGCCAGGCCAACCGAACAAATGATTTTGCATACACAAACAAACGTGAATATGCATATCGATACACTGAGCGGAAGTACAAAAAAATTATTCATTAATTGCAGGGGGTATTTAATAAAAGATCCTTTGTGTTTTGCACTTTGTGGACTACAAAAGAAGGGCTTAAAAAATATTCAAAGGTCACTGGGTGAGGCAAATATGAAATGCAAGAAATATTTGAATTATTTCTGAATTTCGGGGGGCATTTTATTTAATAGTAGAGATAGTTAAAAATATTATTATTATATATTTTAATTTCCCTATTAATTTAAATAAAAACATGATCAGTTTTAGATTAGGGATTAATCATTTAATTGAGATTGTTTTCGTATTTTCCCCGTGTATATATGCATCGATTTATCCGATAAGTGCTGAAGTGCGTGGGTGGGAATGGGAGGATATATAGCTATATAGTAGATGGGATATGGGAGAGGGGAACTGGGAACTGGAGCTGCGACTGAAGCCACGCCACTTCACTCCACGCCATCGAGAGAATCCACAAGCCGATGCGGTAGACTGACAAACCGACTTGGCTGTCAATAATCCGATAAAATGCGAACAAAAAATACGCTCACGGCGGCTGGGTGATTCTGGGTTCATGGGATGCTGGCTGGTGAATAAAATATAATGTGTATAGAGAGCCGAGTGAGAAGAAGGTGCCTAAAGCGTTAAGTATGGAGATCCCCCTACTTAGTTTTTTTTTTTTTATACCCCCAACTTAGGCATCTCATCCTCAGGTAATTGCATCAAAAGAGCCCCATAATTCAACTTGTTCATTTATTTTGCACTTTTTTATATGCTGACACTTAGCTATTGGCATTAGGGCGCGACTTAACCGGCAGAAGAAGAAGGTTAAGGCCAATTGGATTGGCTAGAATGCTGAATGATGGCCCAGAGGCGTCTTAATTGGCTGATTTTCGTGGAATGGCGTCCTGTGGATTGTGGGTGCATTTTAGTGGATTTATGTGGGCCACCCACATGAAAAATATAAACCTGGCCCAGACGCAGACACACCCACACAGCCACATCCACATCCATTCCACATCCACATCCATTATGTGTTCGTCGCATTAATAATTCATATTTCATTAGGGGAACAGCATCAATATAACCATGGCTTCAAGGGGGGCGGTTGTCTGGGGGCGTTACTTGGTTAGCTTTATTTTAATGGAATTTGATTGATTTGCATATATGCGAAACGAAGCCTGTCAGCGGCGTTAAATGATGACAGTTTTCAGTATTTATACTCTTTTTTTTTTGGCTAAAAAGTGAAAAAAGTGTGCAGTTTAATCAAATTATTTAATGAAAACATTAACATAAAATATACCTACCTTTACTCGAAATGGAAAACTTAACTTACATTTTTTTTCGAATTTTCAAAGATAAAATCTTTTCGAAAAACAGTTTCTATTTAATATTTATATTTATTTTATTTTAAGGGTTTCCTGAATGTAACACAGGAATTGCTTGTACATTTTTTTTCTAATTTTCAAAGATAAAATCTTTTTGAAAAACATTTTCTATTTGATATTTATATTTATAGTATTTTAAGGGGTTCCTGAATTTAGCACAGCAATTGCTTTTAAAATATGATTATGATATATTTTTTGAAGATCTTTAAACATAAAAACCTTTGTAGCTTTTCATGGCCTTGATAGATTTTTGATTACCTTCTTAACCCTGTGCTTTTTCCTGTTTCCCCGTTGTTTGTTGGCATTTTTTTTTTGCTTGGAATAGCTGCAACAAACGAAGAGCGGCACGTCGACGAGTCAGCGGCAGGACCTGAGCTTCCTGAACGAGTCGACGCCGATCTATGTGACGTCCTTCACGAGCAACCAGATCACCTGCAGCAGTTCCACGATGACGACGGCCACCGCCGGCGGTCCGATCAGTGCGCCCTCGCTGGCCACGGCCACCAGCACGGTGCCCACGGCCTCCCCATCCCTGCACACCACCACGGTGGTGGCCCAGATCGAGCATGGCCATCCGGGGGCATCCGCTTTGGTCGGCGCCGCCGTGGCAGCCGCAACGGCCGCCGATCGGAATGCGAATAGCACAACATCGGCGGCCCTCAAGCAGACGGTGAATTGTCTGGGGCCATCGGGTGGTCAGGGTCACCAGATCTACCAGACCAGCCAGGCGCAGCAGCAACAGTTGCAGCAGCTGCAGCAGCAACTTGCAGCAGCGGCGGCGGCGGGAAAGCCGCTGCAGGCGAAATCCCTGCTGGCCAGCAGTCTGCAGCATCTCGCCGAGGAGGTGGACAACGAGGATCTGGACGATGACGACGATGTGGATGGGGCCAACTACTGTGGCATCACCTACATCAGTTACAACAACAAGCATGCCCAGTTGCCGACGACGACGTTGCCTGCAACGACTGCCTTGCCGGCGGCAGCTGCCACTTTGGCCACCACGGCGGCGATCCATCAGCAGAGAGCCCAGCAGCAGCAGCAGCAGCAGTTGCAACATCATCCGGCGGTGGCAGCAGCAACATCCAGCCAACTCAATCGACCCACGGCACCGGCACCTCTGCAGCTCGGAGGTCCCGTCAATCCCTGTTTCGTGGATGCCCAGACTTCCACGTCGCCACTGATGGTGCAGCAGCAACAGCAGGATGTGGCAGCCTCATCGTCAGCGGCAAGTGTGGTGGTGATGGAGCGGCATGTTCATGGCACCACCACACCCAAAACGGAGTACTCCACGGCCATTTCCAGTGGCCAATTGCAGCAGGCCTTTGCCGAATTGCAGCTGCACTCGAGCAACAACAATGCAACACAGCAGCAGCAACAGCAGCAACATTTACTTTTAAGCAACAACAATAATAGCAATAATTCAATGGCAGCGGCACAAACAACGGCATCTCTGATGAAGAATTGTGATCTACTGATATCGAACAATCTGTATCCACCGAGAAGAGAGGTGAAATGGATTGATTTTATGGATTTATTGAAGAATTTATTTTGAATGCCACTGATTTTGTGGAATTTCATTTAATTGTGCATGCCATTCATTTCGATTTCCTTTGTGTATTGTTATGTGAAATATTCAATTTAAATATTAAATTAATTACCATTTTAATTGCATTTACTCCACAGTTACTAGAAGACGTCATCGTCCATCAGGCCAGTGATGTCCATTCATACAGCACGAGTGCAACAGCAACAGCAACAGCAGCAATCGCCAGCAGCAGCAGCAGCAGCAGAGCACAGCAGCAACATCAGTTGCTGAATGCCGCCTACGAGTTGCAGCAACAGCAACAGCAGCAGCAGCAGCAGCAACAGAACAGTCCCACAAGTAGCATATCAATAGGAAGAACTGAACTTTTATTGGGCGATCAGAGTTTGCGACAGGATCCCAGAGGGTGAGTTTTACTAAGAATATTCTACTAAAAAATAAGAGTTTCCCTTAAAAATAATAGTAAGTTCCTAAAATAATTACCTCTATAAAGAAGGTGATTGCGTCCTTGCTAAATGATTTCTGGGGGAAAATGTGCAAAATAATATAGCCTAGCCTGCAGGCGCTTCCAGGCGCACAGTGCCTCTCAAACTGTGATTTCTCTCTTGTTTGCCCGCTGATTCATTTGACCAACACTGTGTATCTGTGCTTGCACTTTATGAAGCATTTATTACCGCTCCTCGCCGCTCCGGTATTAGTAGCTACTGGCTGGCCCTCCGGCTTGAATGGAATTTCTCGCGCTGCGGAAATACCCAACATGTGGCGCACACACACAGCATACACAACACACACAGCACACCCAAATGCACTGACACACTGCGCGAGCTGAGTTTTTATGACTGCTTATTTATTTACTCGCTCTGCTCGCTGGGTTTTCCACCTGGCTGGATCGCTACAGCTCCGCCCTGCATCCGCATCCGCATCAGCATCCGCATCCTCATCCTTTTTCGCGCTCCGCCTTTGGCCATCGCTGACATTTTTCACACATTTTTCCCAGTGCTCGCACCCTGCCCCTCTCGTTTTGGCACTACGCCACCCCATTTCCCCCTCCTTCTCGTTCGTCCTTGCCAAACGAACCTGTTGTGATTTCGCCTTCAGCGACAAACTATTCGCAAACAGCAGGGGGCAAACTAATAGCACCCACCTTTGTTTGATAAATAAAATGTTTTAAATATATTTATTTTTTGGATATGAAAAGGTATTTTAAATTTAAATGTAGCTAAATTTTTTAAAACATATTTATATAAAATTTAAAAAGAAAATATAAACACTATATTTTTGGCCCACACTGTGGGTATCCGCGTAAGTCAGCCCAGCATCCTTTTATTTCCGCCCCTCATTATTATGACCCCCTTCAGCCCCCTCAACGACCCATTTAAGCACGTGCGCTTTCATTTTATGCTCATTATTAATTAACGAGTTATTTTCCTCGCCCGGCGATGAATATTTATACATTTTTAATCGATTTTTCCGCTCCTGGCTGCCTGACTGCCTGACTGCCTGACTGCCAAAGCATCCGCAGTTTGGCGGCGATTGCACAGTTTGGTGGCCACTGAAATGGCATATAGCAATTAGGCCGATGGGGTCGCCGTTTTGCGGGTCAGTTTGTTTGTGGTCACTCCACGACCATGACCCCTCTCCAAATGTCTTGTCTCGCTCTGTGGCCTCGGTGTCCTCTTCCAACGTCCACGTTGAACAATTGAAAACCTGCTGACTAATCAGTTGCAGACAGTGACAGCCCACAAATGACCATGATGATGATGATTTTGGGCAGTGGCGTGCCTATAAGGGGTTTCTCATTATAATGAAAAAATTATGCAAAAAATTAGGAATATTTTGAACAATTCTTTGTTTCAGATTGGAACCGAACTCGGTCCCATTTAAATTACGATTCTTATTACATTAATAGGGTTTTTAGATTTATTGGTGAAATAAAATCTGTAGTAATTTTGTAACCCCCTTCTTTGGACGCCCCTGCCGACGACACTTGATACGGCGATGCATTGCACTTGATGTGCATTATCTACGAGTTGTAGTTGTGTGCTGTGCATTTGTGCTGCCTGCCAAACTGTCACTCTGATGTACGTACTACCCTTCCCCAGATCCCCTCAAATCTGATCCGTACCAGTAGCACCCCCACCCCCCCTTCTATATCCACTCATCTCGACATCGACATGGACATCGGCTGACAACAATCAATGCTCGATGACATTTCTCTTTCTCGGCTTTTTGTTTGGTCAAATGGGAAAGTCAAGTAGAGGTGGGATTTTCTGAAAATGATTTAGACTCGCTTTCGGTTTTCGAGCCTTGAATATTTGAGCGACTCTTTTGCCGGGCAGATTTATTTAAATTTTAGTTACCTTAAGCAAAAAGTGATAAAATGTTTATAAATTGTGAGAAAATCTAAAGCTATTTTAAAGAAAACTTGGCAAAGTTCTTAAGAATTTCTATCAGCATTTAATAACTAAAAGTTATGCATTATATAAATAAATTAAGACAGGAGTTCCCCTAATTAATTAGCAAGCAGTGCTGCTAAAACTGTAGGCACTCACCAGACGCCTAGAGAAGAATTCCGCCCGATTCTTCTTTGGCATGCGAGCCATGTTTTGGATCTGCGGCTTCACATTTGGACTTGGGGACTCGCAGACCTCAGACCTCAGTCTTTAGTCTTGGGTTTTCAGTATTCAGACTTGGGATCGCGGAATCGGGGCTGCTTTTTAAGAATTCTGGGCACGCGCATGCGCAGCATTTTTTCTGCCTGTTGTTCTTTTCGCGTTTGCTGTGCTGCCTTTTCAGTGGTTTCGTTGAGGTAGGACTTGACTTTGGGAATTAGAGAGAAGAAGAGGGGCTTTGGTTTTGTTATTTTCTTTTTTTTTGTTTGTAGGAAAAAAGAGGGATTTCAGCTACCAAGCTGGTCACTTTCCCATGGGAGCCGAGAAGGAAAATCAATTAAAGGTGCCGCCATTAACTAATCTCTCCTCCTGTCTCTGTCTCTCTATCTCGGAATATGGACATCTCCCTTGCTCAGCTGGCTAGCCAAAAATGTAATTAAATCATTAATTTCCTGTCATTATGAGGCAGCCTTGGCAACAACAAAAATAATGGCCCACATGCAAGAACATTCTGCTGTTCTCGAAATACAGACGAATTTCCCTAAATCACATTTCCCAGCCTCTATATTTATACTTAGGGGTTCTTTTAGTTTTTACCAAGTATATTATAGATTTAAGTAAGTCTAAAGAAAAACCCAAACCATCTTAAGTCGAATTGATTTAAAATCTATTTTCATAACTAGCATTCCCCTTGCTAGAATGTCAATCACAACGATAGTCAACAAAGTCCTTAAGCTTGGAGTTCATTTACCGAGGTTCAACTGTAGTGTAGGTGCAGGGGGTTAGAGGCAGAAGAAGAAGAGTCGAGAGCCCGAAGGACTTGCGAGTTATTTGTAGAGCAACAAACTAAAAAGTAAAGCGCATAAAAAAGTTGGAAGAATATACTATAAAATGAAATCATATTTGTGTTGCCATGTGTGGCACACAAACACACAAGCTTGTAACTTGAGATAAATCCGTTATAATAACTCTGAGCATCTGGGTTGGATATGGATGTCTATATGTATGTGATGTATATATGTGGATATATAAATGTGGATGCACAGACACACACACGCGCACACACTCAAGCTCAAGCTCAAGTGTGACGATTGTATCTTTGTATCTTTGGAGGATGCTTGCCGCTGTATCTTAGTATTTGTATCTTTAGCCCCCTCTTTCTCACCCTTTTTTCCCTCTCTTTCGCAGGTAAGCCAAGCAATCAACGTTTTGTTTGCCTCTTGTTTTTGTTTTGCTTTTGTTCGCCGAGTGTTCGTAGGTGTGCGTGTGTGTGATTGTGTGTTTGTGTGTTTGTGAATCTCTTCTCTATCTTACCTGTTACCTGTTGGCCCTTCTCTCTCTTCATTCTCCTCCTCCTCCTCCCTCTCTTCATTCGCCATTAGCCTGTGCCTTTTCGTGGGATCGGCAGGCAGCGAATGAGCAACGAAAACAAACGAAACCTGAGCCAAAAGGGGAGACTGAGATAATATCCCAAGGGTGGGCTATACCTATACCAAAAATGCATCCAAAAAGTAAAGCTTTTTTCAAAAATCCATTCTTTAGTTGCAAGAAGTAACACAAATATGCTATTTAGCGATTACAATTTTTTATTTTGATTTCGGATTTTAAAGAAAAAAGTGTTTTATAATAATATGTTTAAGCTTGGTAACCTAGAAATATCTAGAAGCTTAAAACCACATTTAAATGCATCTAATGGATTACTTTAAAAAATATAACACCACCTTATTTTTTCGTTGAATAATTACAAATTCAAAAAATAGCTACGCATTTGAAAAGGACTTTCTATACAATCTAAACTGATTATCTGCGATCAATTAAGATGACAGTTATCTTGCCATTTTCCCTGTGTAGTCTTAATTGGAGCAGTCACTTTTAATTGCTGACCCAGTAGCAAGTGGCAAGTGCCTCTCAAACGGAAATTAAATAATTATCGTTTAACGGCAAAAGGAAATTAAACGGGCTGTGTCTGTGGTAATCAATGTGGTCCGCAATCGACCAGTCTGCAAAAGATTGACACAAAAGTGGTTCGCAATACTGCGCTAGATTGAAAGAATTTAAAAGCATCTGAATAGTCATAAAATTAAGACTTATTTAAATATTTTTAACTGCCATATTTTAGAATTATGTATAGTTTCGGGATCGATAGCAAAATATATTAATGCCCTCAAAATATTAACTCTAAATCTCTGAAAACAACAAAAAAACAGGAAAAGAATCAGTTAGAGGGTTGATGAATTATAAGAATTCGACGGTTTTATTATTTTGGTAAATAGTGGATAGTTTTCTACCTGTACACTCCCCCGAAATGGGTTTTTCCTCTTCCGCTCTCTCCCTCTCTCTCTCTCTCTTGCTCTTTTGGAGATCCCTGATTCATTTTAGGGAGTGATACATTCTCACCTGAGGCCCCAGCTTCGATTTCCATCTCAATCTTGGGGCAAGGCTCTCGATTCTTCCGAGAAAACGAGAGAATCGGCATACATACCTCTCGATTGAGTCACGTACCCACACGCACACCAACACACACACACACCTGTGCACACCTTTTGTTCTTTTATGTGGCACAATGGGCTTAACAGTATGTACGCATGTGTGTGCCGAAGAGAAGGAATAAGAGTACGAGTACAAGTACGGGATATTTTTGTACCTGCCCTATAGCATTTCTTCCTCTTCTTCAGGAGTGCTCACTTACAAGGAACGAAAAGGGGAAGCAAAAGTGCATAACGAACTTTGCGAGGGAGTGCCGACTAAATGATCTTTTCCCAAAAATCCCATTAAACCATGAAGGTTTTGTGTG